TGGTGCACTGCCTGGCAGGTGTGAGCCGGTCAGTGACGGTGACAGTGGCCTACTTGATGCAGCGCCTGCGCCTCTCACTCAACGATGCCTACGACCTCGTCAAACGGAAGAAGGCTGATGCCTCCCCCAACTTCAACTTTCTGGGCCAGCTGCTAGACTTTGAGCGCCAGCTGGGCCTGGCTGAGGGTGGGCTTGGGCCTGGTAGCCCCCCGGGCCCCCAAAGCCCCAGTCCAAGCCCTGCGCCCTCCCCTGCTGCCTTCTTCTCTGATGATGACCCAGGGCCATCCCCTCATAACCTCACATAGCCCCCTAGGCCTGGCATTTACCCCCCCTGCTTTCCCGCACTCTAGAGTAAGAGCTTATGGCCTGGGGGCTCAAACTCGGGGAGGGCAGTGGCTAACCTATAAGATTCCTCCCCCTCCCCCCAACCACTGGCACCAGTGGAGCAGTCCCTGGTGGTTGGGCACCTACCCCCCATCATTTCTTGGGGGACTGGAACCAGCTGCTGGAGAATAACCTGGAACTGGCAATTGAGAACCTGAAGCCTAGGTTCTAGACTACCCCCCATCTGCTGGGATCTACAAGAGACTTGGATCGTCTGTGCATCCAGAAAAAAGGTGGATCTAGACTGGAACCTCATGGGATGCTCTAGGACAAGCCCAGCCCCTGGGGTGCCAGGTCCAGGCTGAAGCCGGGTCAGGACCAGGAGGCACTATGGGTGCCTCTCTGTGGGTGCCTGCCCAGCTGGAGGGAAGGGACTCTGCTCCCTGGCTGTGTGTGCCTGTGTGTCCTATGCTCCCTGCCGGTGGGGGCTGGAGTCCCGCCTCCATGCACATGCCTGCAGGCGCGTAACCCTTGGGAGGGGTTGCCATGTGCGCATGTGCATCTCAGGCCTTTTATTTTTAACAGTTTTCATATATGTGGGGTTGAGGGGGCAGGAGCTAGGGTGACCCTGGGGCTGGTGGTCTCCCCCTGAAACAAAGTGGACAATAAAGCAGGACTTTATCGCCAAAGGCTGGGGGCCTCCTTTGTTCTGCCTGCGTGGGAGGATTGTGAGGCCAGAGCCTTGGGTCTGTGGGTGCTGGGGCGGGCTTCAGGAGTTCCGGTGCCTGTGCTGAGGGCTCCCCTGCTGCGGGGGACAGGGGCCCCTGCTAGACCCCTGCCCCCTTTGTCCTCCATCCCAAGCAGGCTCGCCCTCCGATCCTGCCCAAAACGTATCTAGCCCCGCTCCTCCCCGCAACAGCCAGGCTGGCTCCGCGCGCAAAGAGAAGGGGCGTGGCCCCACCTGAGCTCCCGACCAATGAGCGGGGGCGGAGTCAAGACACTCGTCGCTCGGCGCGAAGATGGCGATAGCGGCCGAAGCAGCTGCGCTGTACCAGCGCCTGCAGGTAGCGCCGGGGAGACTACTGCGACCGTTTGCGGGGAGGGAACCGGGCTGGGCTGGACCAGCAGGACCGGGAGGGATTAGGCGAGACCATCTCTAAGAGACCCCGGGGAGTGGGGAAAGCCATCTCCCGCCAGCACGGCCGGGAGGGGAAGGCGGGGCCGGGCTGTCTGACCCCCTTTTCCCCCGCAGGAGCTGGGTTGTCCCGCACTGGAAGGCGCGGCCCCGGGGGACCCCGATGGCGCCCTACGCCTACTCTGCGCCCCTGGCGGGGCGCGGCGGGCAGCCGTCCTGGAGTGGGCCTGCATGCGGTACCGCTCGGCCCCTTCCCAGCGTGCACCGCGCCCTCCCCCCTTGCCACCCCGCTGACCGCCCCTTCCCGCCCACAGGACCTGCCCGCCGCTGCGAGAGCTGCTGAACGCGATCCCTGAGGGCCGGGACGAGCTGAGAGCCCGAGGTGGGTTGGGGCGGGACCCAGGCATCCGGGCCCCCTGTCGGCCCGCTCTGTCCCCAGGAATCCAGGAGTCCTGCGCGAGGCGGCCGCACCCGGTGTCAGACGGGAGGTCCTCGTTGTACTTGGGCCCGCTGCTCCTCGTCTGGGCGAGCGCCCGGTTCTCCCCAGCATAGCCTGCCCCAGAGGAACTGCAGCTCTGTGCTGCGTGACCCCCAACCCGAGCCGGCTGCACCCCGGGGTCCGAGGTTTGCCCGCTCCAGTGCCTCCTCCTCCCACACCCTCAGTGCTGCAGGACTCTGCTAACCCAGTCTCAGAGCCAGTAGCACCCTGCATCCCCATTGACCTAGCCACAGCACAGGCTCCCTCAGGACCCTTTCTCCTCGGCCTCATCTAACGGGCTCTGTCCTCGCAGAGGTGGTCAAGCTGGGGGCTGACCTGCTGCTCTGCCACCCGGAGGACCTTGCCCTCATTAAGGTGAGCAGGGGAAGGGGCATCTCTGGGGCGGGGGGGGCAGAGTGAGCTGCTGCAGTGTTTCTCAGCCTCTTTTGTACCAGGGCACATTTGTAAACATCAGTGCCCATCCTGACTCAGTGCACCTCACTCCTGACCTGCTGCCTCTCATTGTGTGGGACGGGGGGCAGGCAGGGGTGTCAGGGGGGCAAGGTGCCCCTCAGGCTGGAGCTCTGCCAGCCTGCAAGGGAAAAGCCATGGTTTCCAAGTTTTTTCTCTTTTAAAGGAGAATCCATTTTAAAAGTTTGTTCATGACCCTTTCATATATTTTTGCAACACATAGGTTGAGAAATGCTGGGGCTGGAGAGTGGGGGTTGGGCAGGTGTGTTGACTCCCCCATCCCTTGCTTTGACCCTCCCCCCTCCTACCAGGGTGATGCCCCCCCACTTCAGCAGCTCCGGTTCCTCGAGAGTCTCCTGAATGCGGTGCCTGAGCCCAACTCGGATGCCTCGCCAGCCAGGTGAGGGCTGTGGGCATAGCCTTGCTGCCCACCCCTACCCTCACCCCTCCTACCTAGGCATCCAGGCTCCCAGCCCTTTGCTGTAATTTACCTATTCTCTATTCCTAGAGCTGGGAAAGAACCCAGGTGTACAGGGTCTCCTCCAAACATCTGGGCCTTTCCACACCCCACCCCCGAACCCAGGCATCCATACTCTCCCCCACCAGGGAACCCAAACATCTGGGCTGACTGACCCCTCACACCCCATCCCAGGGAACCCAAGCATCTGGGCTGACGGACCTGTCCCCTGCAGGCACGGCGAGGACATTCTGCGTGAGATGCTAGTGGGCCCAGGCCTGGCCTCGCTGTCTCCCCCTGATCCCCCTGTGGTCCCCATGCTGCGCACCCTGCTGCCTGAGCTGCCGCCCAGGTGTGTGGTGTGGTGGGGTTGGGGGTGGAACCCGAGCATCCAGGCTCTGAGCCCCGCTCCCTCCCCCCGTATTGAACCAAGGCATTTGGGGCCCAAGCCAGAAGAGAAACCCAGGGTCTGATGTCCCAAGCCCCCACCCAGCCCCCAGAGCCAGGAGAGAACGAGGGGTGCACTGATAGATTTTTTTGGACTGATACTGATGGCCAATGTTTAACGAGCCATATCAGCTGATACTGATCCAATTGCCAGTATGTGGAGAGCAGTGTCCGGTTGGTAAATCTGGTGTAGGGGAAAGGGCAGTGGGGGAGGGAAGGGGCCTGAGGAGGCAGACTGGGGCCCTGCAGTGAGGGAGAGAGTGGGGCTGGGGCAGGTGCTGGCACTGCACAGCCAGGCTGGGGCGGAACGTGGGACAAAGCTGTGGCTCATCTGGGCGGAGGGGGGATGGCTTCTGTTGCTGCATGCACTCTAGGCAGGCATGGCAGGTGGGCATATGCTCTCCAGTTCTGTGTGCAGGGTGAGGGTGGGCTGCCAATGCATGCTGGGGCCAGGGTGGCGCTGGGCTTTTTCCGGTAGGGGGGCTGGGCCGGGCACTGTGAGGGAGGGCTATGGTGAATTTTGGGGTGGCTGTAGCCCCCCTCCCAGTGCTGCCACCACCCACCCCAGTGTAGCCCCAGCCCAACCCCCATAGCTGGGAAGAGCCTGGCATGGCCCCAGTCCGCAGTGGCAGCCCAACTTTGCCCTGCTCACAGATCTGGGGGGCATATGACCCCCGTGCCGTTCTGGGGTCCACGTAGGGGGGGGAGCCGCCCCCCACCCAGGTAAGCCACTCTAACTCCGTTCTATTCCCTCCCACCCCCAGTGCTTGCCCCTGCCTCCAGTGCCAGCCCCACTCCCTCCCACCAGATCAACCAAAATATCTGATTGCTGATCATGTCAATTTGCCTTTTTATCAGTGCCAACACGATATGGACCAATGTATCAGTGCACCTCTAGAGAGAACTCAGGCTCCCAGTCCCAGGGCCAGAATAGAACCCAGGCATCCAGGATCCAAGACAGGAGGGGACTCAAGCTCCCAGCCCCACCACCCAGAGCCAGAATAGAAGCTAGGTGCCTGGGCCCTGGAGCTGGCTGGGCTCTGGGGACCCAGGCATCTGGGCTCCTAGCCCCCTCCCTGGAACCCAGGCATCCAGGGCCCAAGCCAAAACAGACCCCGGCATCTGGGTTTTCTATACCACCCCACTCCCGCCCCCCCCAGCCCTCAGAGTCAGGAGGGGACCCAGGTATCCAGGCTCGCACCCTTCCAGAGCCAAAAGAGAATCCAGGTCCTGAGCTGGGGGGGGTCCCAGGTGTCTGGGCTGTGGTGTCTCTGCAGGCTTCAAGTGCCACAAGGGAAGTCACTGCTACAGCTGCACAAGGAGCTGTATGAAGCTGATGCTGCCCTGGCTCTGTTGGAAGCTGAGGTGAGGCAGGGGGAGTCCCAGACAGCTGGCTCCCTCCTGGGG